CTGGGGACATATCTTACAAGTTCAGGGTTCAGTAGTTAGATGGCGCTACTTTACACATACTTCCGGTACTGTAGTCTGTCGCGTCTAATTATAATCTTCACTTTCTCCTCTGCGTGTGTGTGTGTGTGTGTATGTGTACATGTGTGTGTGTGGTGTGTGAGAGTGTATGTATGTACTGCCCCCAAAAAAAAACACGACAAACATTTATCCAAACAAAATCCCACAACCAGGTACTACAAAACTGAACAAAATCCCGTCGACGTTTCTTGTACTAACCAACCTCCTCCGCCCCTCCCCCCTCTCTTCTCTATGTCTGTCTGTCTTTTTTTTTTTTTGGGGGACAACAACCGGTTAAGTTAGGTAATTTTATGGTCTCTTAGTTCCTGTACACATTTCTGACTTCCTGACGATGCTACCCAAACAAAAACTCACATGTGACATTCCAGGACTGTTTGTAGGACGAGCTACCAGTTTTGTCTATAGTTTTTCTCAGTAGGAAGTTATAGGAATATAGATACGAAACACCTGTGAAAATTACCTGGGTAGTTATTTGATTATGTAGGTAAGGAGAATCGTTTATAATGTTCTGAAATATGAGAAAAATCTACTGAAGTTGCTAACAGGGTTCAGCCACTCAGAGCTTCCACATGGGTCACCCCCACACAGGTCTCCTCTCCCCCACACCCCGGTCTCCTCTCCCCACACACACGGGTCCTCTCCCCCACACACACACGGTCTCCTCTCCACCCCCACACACACGGGTCTCCTCTCCACCCCCCCCACACACACACACAGGTCTCCTCCCCCCACACACACAGGTCTCCTCTCCCCCACCACACGGGTCTCTCTCCCCCACACACACACAGGTCTCCCTCTCCCCCCACACAGTCTCCTCTCCCCCCCCCACACACACACAGGTCTCCTCTCCCCCCACACACACACACACAGGTCTCCTCTCCCCCACAGGTCTCCTCTCCCCCCACACACAGGTCTCCTCTCCCCCCCACACACACAGGTCTCCTCTCCCCCACACACACACAGGTCTCCTCTCCCCCCCACACACACAGGTCTCTCTCCCCCACCACGTCTCCTCCCCCACACACACACAGGTCTCCTCTCCCCACACACAGGTCTCCTCTCCCCCCCCCCACACACACGGGTCTCCTCCCCCCACACACACACACGGGTCTCTCTCCCCCACACACACACAGGTCTCCTCTCCACCCCACACACACACAGGTCTCCTCTCACCCCACACACACACAGGTCTCCTCTCCACCCCACACACACACACAGGTCTCTCCCCACACAGGTCTCCTCTCCCCCCCCACACACACACAGGTCTCCTCTCCCCACACACACAGGTCTCTCTCCCCCACCACACAGGTCTCCTCTCCCCCCACACACACGGGTCTCCTCTCCCCCACACACACAGGTCTCTCTCCACCCCCACACACACACACGGTCTCCTCTCCCACCCCACACACACGGGTCTCCTCTCCACCCCCCACACGGGTCTCCTCTCCCCCCACACACACGGGTCTCCTCCACCCACACACACACGGGTCTCCTCTCCCCCCACACACACACGGGTCTCCTCTCCACCCCACACACACACGGGTCTCCTCTCCCCCCCCCCACACACGGTCCTCTCCCCCCACACACAGGTCTCCTCTCCCCCACACACACAGGTCTCCTCTCCCCCCACACACACACAGGTCTCCTCTCCCCCCCACACACACAGGTCTCCTCTCCCCCACACACACACCGTCTCCCCCACCACACAGGTCCCTCTCCCCCCACACACAGGTCTCCTCTCCCCCCCACACACAGGTCTCCTCTCCCCCCCACACACACACAGGTCTCCTCTCCCCCCACACACACAGTCCTCTCCCCCCCCACACACACAGGTCTCCTCTCCCCCCACACACACAGGTCTCCTCTCCCCCCCCACACACACAGGTCTCCTCTCCCCCCCCACACACACGGGTCTCCCTCTCCCCCCCCACACACACGGGTCCCCTCTCCCCCCCACACACGGGTCTCCTCTCCACCCCCACACACACAGGTCTCCTCTCCCCCCCCACACACACGGGTCTCCTCTCCCCCCACACACACACGGGTCTCCTCTCCCCCACACACAGGTCTCCTCTCCCCCACACACAGGTCTCCTCTCCCCCCACACACGGTCTCCTCTCCACCCCCACACACACAGGTCCTCTCCCCCCACACACACAGGTCTCCTCTCCACCCCACACACACAGGTCTCCTCTCCCCCCACACACAGGTCTCTCTCCCCCCCACACACACAGGTCCCTCACCCCACGTCTCCTCTCCACCCCACACACACACAGGTCTCCTCTCCCCCCACACACACACAGGTCTCCCTCTCCACCCCCACACACACACGGTCTCCTCTCCACCCACACACACACAGGTCTCCTCTCCACCCCACACACACACAGGTCTCCTCTCCACCCCCCACACACACGGGTCTCCTCTCCACCCCCACACACACAGGTCTCCTCTCCACCCCACACACACAGGTCTCCTCTCCCCCACACACACGGGTCTCCTCCAACACACCTGAGGATTCCACTGGATTCTACACATTACTGAGAGAGCAGCGCCGCCAGACTGTGAGAAGAATCAACGTAGGCACCACACCCACCCACCCAACCACTATTCTGACAGGTACACTATAGTTTCTTAATAGTAAATAGGCTACGGAATTTTAAAACCCTAATAACTGTGGTATTTAAACTACAACAGTGAACGACCATTACTTTAGATCACAGGAATTATTCGTCTTGGGTCATAATTTGGCATAAGTAACATGACCTTACACGAGGTTGGTGTTATTGTATCACTATGCACGAGTGACATTTATTTAAACACAATCCATTTTGGAGAGCTAAAACTTAAAAGTCCTGCTGGATACTTGAAGGTCTTAAAATAAACACACACACGTTTACACACACACTCTCACGATACGAAAAGACCAAACCTTGAACTATCATGAATACAAAACCTTGTTATGTACGATGACTCTATTACCAGAGAGAAAAAATACTTTATTGTTGATATTATCATCGTCCACAATCAGCGAGTAGAACTATCATAATCACCCATCAATCACGACTCTGGTCACTTATAGAAAACGAAACATAGATGGCTCTGGGGAGGGATACAAGCTCACACGCAACAGGTGACCTAACTTTTGACCTATGACCTATGCTACGAGGCGGTTGGAGTCCAGGGCCGATGGTTGATAATGGGGAAAAGTGACGCTACTAACCTTCAGGAGGAGCTGATGACGAAGGTTAAGTGGCAGCCTACGTTAGCGCCTGCCATCACCAGCGACTGAGAGGAGGTATTTGGTGTAGATGAACCGAGTGTACTACTATGACATTACTACTGTCTTGGTCACTGTCTGGTGGCCCGGTACCTGTCTTGGTCCCTGTCTGGGGGCCCGGTACCTGTGTTGGTCACTGTCTGGGGGCCCGGTACCTGTGTTGGTCACTGCCTGAGGGCCCGGTACCTGTGTTGGTCACTGCCTGAGGGCCCGGTCGGTACTTGCGTTCTAATACTCATATCATCAACCACAACAACAACCCTAACAACCACAAACAAAAATGACAACAATGACAGCAACAACAACACCCATACTTGACAACAACGACGCCATCAAGAACAACAACAACAATCAACAAATTACAACTACAACAATTATAGCTTAAACAACCACAATAACAACCACCAACATAAACAACCTCCTCTTCAAACAACAAAAACAACAAGCAGAAGAAAAATAACAATAACAAAGAGAAGAATAACAATAATAACAATAACAACACCAACAACAATAACAAAAACAACAATAATATGACAAATACCAACAGACAGAGAGAGAGAGAGAGAGAGAGAGAGAGAGAGAGAGAGAGATTAAAGAAGTATGAACCTAACCAAAACCCCCAGGTAACATTAGGGTGTTTAATCCTCATGTAAATCCTGTAACTTATTAAATAAAACTAAAGTCTAAAATCCGCCATTACATCCTGAAATCTACTTTGAAAATCTGAATTCCTGCTTTATAATCTGAACTCTTAGTCTGAAAATCTACATTATACATACAAATATTTACTCTGAAAATTTAAAGTTTAATCTGATAATCTGAAATCTGCACTGTAAATATGGGAGAAATTCAAAAGGATTTTAAAGATATCTTGTGATGGTTTTTGAAATTCAGTCATCATTCACTCTGGAGTCTTTACGAGGTCCATGACTGCCCCTCAGCCTCACCTCCCAACAGGGGCTGTGAGGCTCCGGTACACTGTATAGTAAGCCATCAATACCCAGGACGGCATCGTGTCTGGCACTGGACTAGACAACCTTCTGTTCCCTAAATGTAAAGTTAGGTGTCCATTTACAGTTGGGTGGATCGGGTCTGCCTCTGCATTGAATCAACGCCCCTGGAACAAGCGAGTGCTGTCAAAACTCGGCCGTTTATGTCTGTTCAACTAGTTGTATAGTAGAGTCTCTCTCCCTCTCATATAACAGTGGTGTATAGACCCTCTTAATGGCATCGTGGCACTATGGTACCGTGGCACTGTGGTAACATGGCTTTATGGTACCGTGGCACTGTGGTACCGTGGAATTGTGGCATTATGGTAACGTGGCACTGTGGCACTGCGATACTATGGTCATGGCACTATGTCATTAACTTAACTACCATACACTATCCCATTCTGAAATAGTAGAGGCGAATAAAATATCTTTATAGAACTATGGCACTGTGGCACCATCGGGTCAGTCTCACCTACGTGTCCTTTCATCTTTTCAGTTGGGAGTCGTTGTAGCACTTAACCTACAGGGTCCCTGAGCAGCACCCATACTGGAAAGTTAAAATGCCAGGTGATTGTATCCGTGATCCAAAAACAGGACTTTAAAAAAAATGGCATCTTGACTAGCGTTGTGTCGTAAGCGGCGGGTCGGGTATATAAGGTGTCGACGGGTAGTGCCAGACACACACAGTTGACCAGCTCCCTCGCACCAACCAGTCCTCCTCACCTTTCATCCAGCACCTACTACTGCAGCGCACCATGAAGCTCGTTAGTACTAGTCCCTCGCATCACTACTATGCTAGACTTAACTCCGTATTTAACTCTGTATATTGAGTCTGTAGGTGTGAGATTTATTCTATAACGAGAGAGGTTAAGTTAGGTTAGTATTATATAAGTTCCCAGGGTGACGGTGACACACTAGATGCTTGACACTACCCGCTGCTGTTGTGCTGACCAAGGCGTTGGTTTTCCTGCAGGTATTGTTAGCAGCGTTCAGCGTGGCGTGTGTGACTGCTCGTCCTCAACCTGAAGGACCCGCCCAGACCTCCCCCTACGCCACACCAGTGCCCATCCTGCTTGATGAACGCATTCCCATCGACTCCTACGGTGGATACGGCTTCAAGTGCGTCTCCAGTAACACGTTCCTTAACAGTAGTTGTTATAAACCATAATAGAAGTCAAGTAATAACCTCAAATTAGCAGTAATATTAAGTAACTCTTATGAAAATAGTCTCTATATAGTTCTTGTAACAGAATTTAGTGCATATGGCTGTTAATGTTTGTATTGGTTACGGCAGTACAGGTGTGTCATGTCCCAGGCTTTGAGTTGTGCACATAACACATAACTCTTCCCTACAGGTTCCAGACTGGCGACGGATTATCCTGGGCTGAAACCGCGTCACCCCAAGGCCCCGATAACCAAATCGGCCGCATCGGTCAGTACAGGTGAGTGAGCCCTTTCCTTAACACCTCCGACGCTTCTGCTAGTGACTTCCTCAGGTATGTTTCCTGGTATAGTGTGGTGTAGGTGTTGTGAGGTGTGTTGTCAGGCTGTAACATATCGTCAACACAACCTCTGGTATCTGTCACTATACCAGGAAGGCGTTGCTGCTTGAGAGAGGTGATGCTCTGGGTACTCTAGTTTTTGTTATGGTACGGGAGCTGATGTAACCGTAGAGAGTGAATGGTGGTGGTGTTGTGGTGGCGTGATGGTGTTGTTGTGATGGTGGTGGATACAGTGTAAGTCACAGTGTTAAGTTCAGAACGAAGCACCTTGACCAAACTTGTCTAAGACCTTCGCACTGTCCAGAACTAACAGTGTGAGAGTCCCGTTACCCCCCACCACCACCCAATGACCAGAACCAGATTATAGACCCCAAAACTTGTCGTCTCGTCCACTACAGATGCTACAAGATAGAAAGGTTCTTCTTAATAAAAAACTGATCTGCTTACTTTCACCCCCATCATCACGCCTCTCACATAACCTTTACTGTGACAGAAATATGTGAGTTACTCCTAGATTGAATGCATCATGTTTACATATATTAAATTTCTATCTATGTGATGTAACCCTTCTGATGTAGCTGACGTGACATAACCCATGTACGTCCAGGTGTGTGTGTGTGTGTGTGTGTGTGTGTGTGTGTGTGTGTGTGTGTGTGCTCTTACTGTACACTCTTCTCCCTAATTAAAACGATATATACCTCTTGTTTTACTACATATCCCCTCGTGTTGACACTTTCATGGCCCGACAGGTTCACACACCCCGATGGCACTCCCCACCTGCTGACCTACACCGCTGGCGTGGGCGGTTTCTTGCCCATCTCTGACCTCATCCCCACACCTCACCCCCTCGAGCCCTGGCATATAGAACAGGTAAGTCTGATACACTTTAGTACCTTAATAACGCAAGACACTTAACTATTGTACATGTATTATAAATTATATGTAAGAAGAGTTTAAGTGTGAGAATATTTTGTCTCAAAGATATTTAAATTAACTTACGATTTGTTTTAAGTTTTGAACATAGAATTATTGCTCATATAATAGATATTATAATCGACAGATGGGAAATATTCACCTCGAGGATGTTGCATTAGTTCATGTTTACTTTTTTGTCAATATCAGTAAATACTGTTCAAGAAATAACTGCTATAATGCAAGGCGAGAATATATCATTACCCCCCCCCCTCCAACATTACATTCACTCTGGAAAAACTTGTACTGTAGAAGGAATTATTTATAAATCCTGTTTTCTCTCAGATCGAGTTCGCTGAACGAGAGAAGGCGGCAGCAGCGGGACCCACGAAATATGAATGATGCTCTGATGTGTGTTGACGACCGTGATTATTGTGTTATATTATATTTTCTACATTGTTTGTGTACGTTATCATGTTTACCTTAATAAATACATAAGAAGAGATATATTCTTTCCTTGTGTCCCGTCTTATAATTGTTGCTCAGAGTTTTTATAGCGAGTTATCTATGATACTTGTTAATGGGAGTTAAAACTGCTGATACTCGTTTACCTGTGACATATACCTTGACCGACATGTTGTCCCCGAGTACAGTACGACTCTCTCTTAAAACACCTTGACCACTGTGGGATGCTGTTGTCATGGTCACGTTGACTGCTGATCTATTTAACTAATGATTCTTATTAAACTCCACGCCCGCAAAACATGAGTGCGTTAGCGACCCCTGAGAAGACGTGTTTTTAACCCCATACACGCTACACTTGTGTCCCTCCCAGAGTCCCGCCTGTGTGAAGACAGTTATCAATGCGTTGTTATTCCACTTTCTCCTGGGAAGCTCAATCTTGGATTAGTCTGTGTAAATCAACTCAAGTAATTCGCCAGACCTTTGTCAACTGAGGGTCATCTTTGAATAAGTAACAGTTAGTTTATTCGTAATTATTGTCATTGCGTGAGTAGCGATCGCTGGCAACTCAGAGGTATTTATACCTGTGCACATCGCATGGAAAGCGTTCTCTGACGCTGCTCCAATGCTTCTCCAGATCCCATTGTGATTCTTGCAACCATTCAACAACGGCCTCGGATGTAGTAAATAACCAGCAGGGATCATATATGAAACGATGGCACCGATGCGGCCTGATTAATGTGCCCCGCGGCTTCGTTGGGTCAGACCCCGACCCGCCATGTGTCTGGCTACCCCACAATAACAGCAGTCGTGTGAGCCCCAGTGCTCTACCCTGGGTTGCTCCTTGGAAGTGTATGTCCACAGTGAGGGTTGTGACATGTATGTTAGGGATAATTAGATGGAACTAATTATCCCATGTTGGGTAGTGGACCCCTGTATATGCTAGTTTAATTATTTACGAGTATGTTGAGTAAGCACTGTAATCTACAATGAGTGCCATGTAATGTAACACCAGTAATGTTGTGAGTAAGAGTAAAGAAGAAGGGACTGAGTTTGCACTAAGCCCAGGAGTTGAGCCTGGTAGTTATATGTTTAATACAATATCTTTCCCCATTGATTGCATATTAATAAACTTGTTTTTTAGAGTACTTTAGGAGTATTCATTTCTCCCACAGTATTTTACCTTTATTTCCATCCAAGTGACCTGATACCAGAATTACCATACTCACGTGCCTAGACCCTCGACCATGCTACCAAAAGAATGTCCGTGCTACCAAAAGAATAGGTGATGGAACTGAGTAAGAGTAAGACTAAGAGAAGTAAGTAAAGATGATGGGGGCGCAGACACAAGAGGGAACCCGCGCCCTCACATTGGTGGCAGCACTAGACCCCCCCCCCCCTCACACTGTATAACTGCCCTGGGTCACACTGTTAACCCTCCCTTACCTCCCGACACCCTTTCCTCTCACCACACTATGGCCAAGGTTATACACAGGATCGTTTTTTATTTATTTCGGGTAATGGAGATAACCCGAAATAAAAACCGGTTCTGTGCTGTATAAAGTCTGCACGTCCCTACGGGTATATTAGCAAACCTTCAAAAGATCTGTAAGAGTTATTAATGAACCTGTGTTCCAGAAGTATTAATAAAGTCAAAAGAACAGAGAAAAACAATGACAAGAGCAGGCCAAGGTTTAACATTACAACAGGATGAGGAAGGAAACTAGATGCATGGTTTGGCTTCATTTGCTGAGAAAATAAGAATGACGATTACTACCTTGAACATCATAGAAATTAAAGTCAAAATGATTTAATGGACAAAAACATATCCAAGACCAAACCCACTAGCACAAGGATAACTAGCAGGCTATTATATATGAACCATGTGATAATTAACAAAATTAAAAAGAAATTAATGATGGGGCGCTATAAAAGACGCGCTACTCTTTACCTAGCGAACCGTGTCCCAGCTGGCGGCGTCAACATCGGTGGCAAGGATTGTGCGTGTTTTATATTAGAGTTAAAATTGTAGTTACGCAGTTTCCTTGCACCCTTAAACTAACGGCTTTGGAGGTTTTGTTTTAAAAGAAGCAAAACTAGCCTAATCTAACCTTGCTAGCTTTCAATATTTATCAAATCAAATAGGGTCTTCCCAAAACCTCTCTCTTGCCACAACTATTTAAGTGTTGGTGTGTAAGCGCTCACAACACCAGCTACCCCCACACCAAGAATTTCACTCCAATTCACAATATTCAAACACATTTTAGATTTTGCCTCATTTCAATTAACAATAATGTTCTACATATTTCAGTAACGTGTAACTTTAACGAGAAATCAATAAAAAATAAATTAAATACGACCTTGAACACAGACTTCGACAGTTAAACAAAGCTGGTCATTTTCTCAATACATTGCCTCTGAGATCTCATTATGCCACAAGGTTGACGGGTTATGGAAAAAATAGAAACAAGAGGATAATAGTAATAAAACAAAGTATTAGAGGAAGAGAGATTAAAAAAATACTATTACAACAGATTTTCAAATTTGTTTAGTGCGGATAACTGTCAGTCAAGTTAGTACTGCCATCTGCCCTACACTTACTGTAATAATCACCTTAAAATTAGCACCTAAACATATTTCGTCTGATTATTAAACACCTTAACACTATCTGGGGTTAGGTATCAAGCCGAATGAACTTCTTAAGTACTTTGGTTAGTTTAACTCCATATGTAATTTCTTCATTAAAAAATTTACTCTTGAGTTTGAAATATTACTAAACAAGTTAAATATATTTTATTTACCTGAGTTATTTGAACTTCATTAACCTATAACAGTCTTGGAGCAAATGCGTTCTTACCAGTTTGTTATAATATCAGTTTGTTTATAAGAGTCCCAGCTGTAATGAGCACTTTTACGTTTTCTGTAACACCCCCAAGCCTCTCACGGTTCGGCTACTCCACCACCCGGCCATATCTAAAACTACTGACCATCACCACCTGGCCACACCTCACACTACTGGCTACCTACTCCAACATCTGGCCACACTTCACATTACTGGCGATCTCCACCACCTGGCCACACCTCACACCACTGGCCATCACCACCTGGCCATACCTCACACTAATGGCCATCTCCACCACTGACCATCTCCACCACTGGCTACCTACTCCAACATCTGGCCACACTTCACATTACTGGCGATCTCCACCACCTGGCCACACCTCACACCACTGGCCATCACCACCTGGCCATACCTCACACTAATGGCCATCTCCACCACTGACCATCTCCACCACTGGCTACCTACTCCAACATCTGGCCACACTTCACATTACTGGCGATCTCCACCACCTGGCCACACCTCACACCACTGGCCATCACCACCTGGCCATACCTCACACTAATGGCCATCTCCACCACCTGGCCACCTAAACCACCCGACCACAACTCGTCACCTCTTAAAAACAATCGTCTACAACAACCACCACCACTTCAGGGTTTTGTCAATAAATATCACCTCAGTGTGTTGTTGTGTTTCTCAACCATAAATAATGCTCTAGTTTGTATTTATCTACGTCTGTTTAACTTTATAAACCTTAATTTAATGGAACTAAGTAATTAATTAGGTTTTGATGGATATTTCAGTTATCTTAGCGTTTTTCTTACTTCAGGCGACGAGTGAGTGATCATATGTATATTTTCAACAGCTACGGTCTTTAACCGCTCTTAATAGATAAGTAATTACACCAGTCATTAACAATTAAAATGAGCTAAAATAAAAATCACACGGTAGGTTGAGGGAGAGACGAGGTCCTTCCTGTAAAGGTGTTTACAAATGTATATATTTACGTACCTAATGGCTACCTCGGGTAACTATAGGGAAGGAGGCCAGTGTCGTGCGTAGCCAGTGTAAGATCTCGTTAATGTTTTTGATAGGCTTGTCGGGGTGTGTGTTGACGGATCCTAGCTTCCATGGCTTGACCAGGTACACTGTTCCACACTATACACTCAGCCACCCAGGTGTTAACCATAAGACTGTCGACTCACTCTGTGTGATGATGAGAGAATCTAAAAACATTTGACGATCGACTTGCGTCATGTAAACTATAAAAAAATATGAGATGGGAAGTTAAAGTAAAACGCCAATCAATAGTCAGGAATGACAACTTTAGGTGTTTGTGTCCAGATTGAAGATTAGTGTTGTGAGTAACAGAAAACATTTTACGTCAGTTCTTAATAGAAAACGATGTATCCTGTATGATTTTAGGGTGACTTAAAAAACTTAATGTATAAACATTGCTTTGTGTGAATCTTGTCACTACACACTAAGGTGGAATACAATCTTTGAAAGTCAGGATAAAGTAGTCGAGGAAAAAATTGACTTCCTCTGCGGGTATTACCGGCTCAAGAGGGATGATCAACCAAGAATAAACTGAGGGATGTGGAGGAATCAGTATATCAGACACAGATAAATAATGTGAAGACAACAGTAGAAGTAAGGTAATACACTCCGGAAATCAAAGAAGAAAGGAAGTAAGACCAGAAATTGGCCCAGCTACTCAAGTGGTTTGCTCAGGTGAGTGGCTGCGTTAGGTGAGTGGCCTACTCTGGTGAGTGGGTGCCTCAAGTGAGTGGGTGCCTCAGGTGAGTGGCCCCTTCTGGTAAGTGGGTGCCTCAAGTGAGTGGCCCCCTCAAGTGAGTGGCTGTCTCAAGTGAGTGGCCACTTCTGGTGAGTGGTCCCTTTCAAATGAGTGGGTGCCTCAGGTGAGTGGTCCCTTCTGGTGAGTGGCCCCCTCAAGTGGGTGGCTGCCTCAAGTGAGTGGTCCCTTCCGGTGAGTGGCCTCCTCAAGTGAGTGGCTGCCCCAGGTGAGTGGCCACTTCTGGTGAGTGGCCCTTCTGGTGAGTGCCCCCTTCATATGAGTGGGTGCCTCAGGTGAGTGCCCTCTCAGGTGAGTGGCTCCCTCCGGTGAGTGGGTGCCTCAGGTGAGTGCCGTCTCAGGTGAATGGCCGCCTCCGGTGAGTGGCCCCCTCCGGTGAGCGGGTGCCTCAGGTGAGTGACCCCTGAGTTGAGTGCCCTCTCAGGTGAGTGGCCCCCTACGGTGAGTGGGTGCCTCAGGAGAGAGCCCCCTCCCGTGAGTGGCTGTCTCAGGTGAGTGCCCTCTCAGGTGAGTGGCCCCCTCAGGTGAGTGACTGCCTCAGATGAGTGGCCGCCTCAGATGAGTGGCATCGTCAGGCAAGTGGTCCCCTCAAGTGAGTGGCCCTTCAGGTGATTGGCCCCTTCAGGACAAGTGGCCGCCTCAGGTGAGTGGTCCCTTCTGGTAAGTGGCCGCCTCAGGTCCATAACAACACACAGGAAGTTAGTAAACCAACATTCACATTCTTGTAAATTTATTTTATTAACTATAGATTGGGCGAGCATAAGAGCTTCATACAGGGCACTCCAGCCAGGGATACCCAGGCTGAAGACATGTAATTGTACCTTCAAGATCAACGAATATAAAACAAAGATGAAACAGTACATATAATTAAGTACTTTCTACTGCGGGTGAATGTTACCTGCAGAACAGAAATTAATGATTGTTTCTTACATACCTGTACTTAGAATCACACTTTACTTACAAACATACAAATTAATGGTCGTTTTTCTTTGATATACTTACAAACACGGTTTACAGCCATACAATTTACCTTTTTATGTTTTCTGGTATATATATATGTGTGTGTGTGTGTGTGTGTGTGTGTGTGTGTGTGTGTGTGTGTGATGAAGCCATTAAATAAAACGAAACACATTACAAAAATAACAATTATATTACATAAAAGAATAAACTTGAGATTCACTTTCTGGTTCTATAAAATTGATGTGTGTTAATGTTACATTATATGCGTTAAATGAGGTTAAGTCGCAGTGTATGAAGGAGGACATTGAGAGCCAAAACAAAACAAGAGATTCAACAATATTAAATGCGCAATGATCAATACAAAACAATTATCATTCATCAGGTGATCCACAATAGGTAAACAAAGACTAGTTACACAACACCTCCAGCCCCTAGCCAGTAGAGGCCACACCCAGTTATACATAAGTTATTCAATTTTCTAAACATTAGTTATTAACAATCATCCCTCGATGTGTCTTCTGCGTTCATGGTGACGTCAACTTTGGTAAACAAGGCAGGGACGGACAAAAGCTGGGGTTTAATATAGTTACCCAGAGTTATGTCACAGAAAACAAATCACAGAAAACGAGTCTCGTCAGCAAGTGACCAGGAAGTAAAGAGGCGACTGGACGTTAAGTAACAGATTGGCATATACGAATGGTTGACTGTCGGGTGTCTGGACGACCGACGGTGGTTTTTTTATATTCTGGTGATGGTGGAGATCCAGTCCAGGTAGTAAGGGATGCTGGTGTACACTCCGGGGACACCTCGCTGACCACAGCCAATACCCCAAGACACCAGCCCCGCCAGCTGCACCGACCCGTCGCGACCCAAACACACCAGCGGGCTCCCTCCGTCACCCTGCACACATAAACAGAGTTAGAATAATGAATAAAAAACATTCAAGTACAGTTAGGTATACACTACACTCCATGGGTTCATTAATTAACATATAGCAGCAGTATCGTGGAAAAGAATTAAGGTATTTTAGTGAACTAATTAAGTGTACACAGAGCGACAAGCCATCTCAGGCTGGACGGTGAAAGAAAATGAGAATATATCTGGACATCAAAAATACACATGTGTAGTGGAGGCGAGACGTAAACAAGAGAACATAAGAACATAAGAACATAAGAATGGAGGAAACTGCAGCGGGCCTATTGGCCCATACTGGGCAGTCCCGTTTACACCCAACCCCTATTGCTCATATGAGCATCCAACCTATGTTTGAAGCAATTCAGCGTATTCGAGTTAATGATGATATTTGGTAACTTGTTCCATTCATCCCACTACTCTGTTCCAAACGAGTGTTTACCTATTTCGCCTAAATCTAAATTGTCTAATTAAAACATTATTCTGAGGATTAAGCTCTGGTTGGATAATTTGGTACCTTTATGTCCTTTGTTTAGCCTGTCTTCCCATATACACCTATCAGGTCGCCCCTCGCTCTACGTCTCTAGAGTGCAGAATAAGATGCTTTAACCTGTCTCTATACTCAAGGTTCCTAATGCCCGGGATTAGTCTTGTCATTCTCCTCTGGAATTCTTTCCGGGATTCTATATCCATTCTGTAATACGGTAGAACTAGACTTCGTAATCAGGTGTGGTCTCGAAACAGATACAGTTTTAGGATGACCTCGCTAGTCTTGTAACTAACGCTCCTTTGTATGAACCCAAGTACTTTATTAGCCTTGTTACGAGCAAAAACACATTGTTTACTTGGCTTAAGGTTCCTACTTATCATTACTCCTAAATCTCTCTCGCAGTCGGATTTCTCTATGGCATCGTTGTTCATCTGGTGTCTGGTTTCCCTGTTTACATCTCCTATACTGAGTACTTTACATTTGTCGACGTTGAATTTCATCTGCCATTTTTCAGACCATTCAGAAAATTTCGTTTAGATCTTCCTGTAGTTTTGCGAGTCCTCGTCAGATTTGATAACAAATCCTCTTTTAGTGTCATCAGCAAGAATTTACTTATGTTGCTGTCTATGCCGATATCTATGTCGTTTATGTATATAATAAACAATAATGGTGATATGCTGAGCCTTGAGGAACTCCACACTTGTGACGCGTTGCTCCATGGGACTTAGTGCCGTTAATGCTCACTCGCTGTTCCTGTCTGTAACCACGCCCTAATCCATTTAAGGATGTCACCTTTGATGCCATGAGCTTCTACCTTTCTAATTAGTCTTTCGTGGGGACTCTATCGAAGGCTTTGCTAAAGTCGAGATATACCACATCATAATTGTGCCCCTCGTCCACCGATTCGAAAATTGATGAAAAGAATATTAATAGATTAGTTAGACATGAATGCCCGCTTGTGAAGCCATGCTGGGAATCGTTGATCAATCGGTGCTTCTCCAGGTGATTTCGAAGAGAGTTTGAAATGATTGCTTCCAGTAATTTGCCTACTATTGATGTTTGACTGATTGGGCGGTTGTTAGAGGATAGTGATCTATCCCCCTTCTTGAAAATCGGTATTACATTCCTTTATCATCAGGATTCTGGTACTACACCTGTTTTTTAAGGACATGTTAAACAAACTGCTAAAGAATATAAAGCTCTTCCTTTTGTTCCTTTAATGCTCTGGCAAATATCTCGCCGGGACCAGGTGACAGCCAGGCTTTGGATTTGATGTTGCTTACTAGCATCGTTTACTAGTCCTCTTATCTCCTTAATTTGTTTTCTTCACTATCTCCTGTGAATAGAGTCGGTGCCTCGGGTATCATGTTTAATTTTTCGGTGGTAAAACTGTTGAAAATATTGTTAAATTATTGCTCATTTTCTCCATTCTCGTTATCAGTGAGCTACTTGAATCTGACCCCGGCGTATTGGTCCCAATCTTTTCTCGTCATTTTGGTTTGATACATTTGGTAGAATCCTTTGGGTTTGTCCCCGCCTCCTTGCTATCTTACCTCGTATTCCTCTTTGCTTTCCTTATCTCGGTTTTAACTCTACTCGCCAATACCCTATAATAGTCCCGGAGGTGAATTTCGCCACGATTTATCCTTCTACCTATAGCCTTCCTTTGGCCAATGATGTTCTTTAAATAATTATTTATCCATTTAGGGTCATTGTTGTCTGATCTGAGTTTTTTGTATGGTATGTTCTGCCTTTGTGCGTTAAGTAACTCACTATTTAAATTATCGTGGAACTCGGCAATCTCAGATCTCGTTATCAGGTCGGTGTCATCTGTCAGGTTCACGGCCAAGCGCGACACCCCCTCTCTCAGCTGCCTCTTTAAACTGTCAAAGTTGGCCCTTCTGAAATCTGGTACTTTAGTGGAATTTTCCTTACGTCTGCCCTGAAAATCTAACTGGAATCGAATTTCTTTGTGATCGCTGTTTGCAAGTTCGTTCCCTACCTCGACATTGCTAATGAGGTTTTCTCTGTTCGTCAGAACTAAATCCAGTATATTATTACCCCGTGTGGGTTCGGTTATATGTTGACTTAGGAAACAGTCCTGGATCGTCTAGAGAAAATCCTCTGATTCTGAGTTACCCGTAAGGACAGTCCAATCTATTTGGCCAAGGTTAAAGTCGCCTACTATACAGACTTTGTTGTGTATGGAAGCCCTGCGCATTTCATCCCAGATAAGTCGCTCATTGACGCTATCAAGATTGGGGGGTCTATATATTACCCCTGTGATTAATTTTTCCCGACCGTCGCTTAATTCTATCAAATTGTTTCTGTATTCCTCTTCAGTTTTATTTCGCTATTTATTTCACGCTTCAGATTATCCCTAACATAGATTGCTTTCTCCGCCTCCTTTCTGGTCTGCCTATCGGTATGGAACGGTTGCCAACCCCGCAATTTGGTATTCGACTGGTAATTCGATGATGACTGAGTTGATCCGCTGTTTGGTAGATACAATTATATCCGATTTTCTTCCGAGTACCTTCACCCAAAGCCCTAATATCATCCATTTTGTTTCTCATACTTCTACTGTTCGCATAGTAGACATTTAAGTTAGTCATGTTCTGAGTCCTCCCTTTACCGCATTTAGGTTTAAACTCCCTGTCTAATTTAGTTTTGTCATCATTCCTAGCACTATTTCCCTGTAATCTTTCACTTTGTTTACCCGTTCCCACTGCAGTCTCCTCCACCCCCGTGCTCCTGTTCTCTTAGCAGTATCACACACACACACTCAACCGTAAATCGTGTGTTGAGTAAGTGAATGATAAAGATAAGTGTTCACTGTTCTGGTACAACAGAGAGGGTACTGGTAGACTCACCTCACAGGCATCCTTGCCCTCTTCCCCTCCTGCACACATCATGCCGCTGTGCAGACTGAAGTCATGGCCCAGCCTCGTTTGGCGAAGAGCCGTTTGGCACACCTGTTGGTCAATGACGGGGAGGTCCACCTCCTTCAGTAGGTGCTGGAAGGAGCCGTGATTACCAAAGGCGTCCTTACCCCACCCTGACACCTTACAACGCTGTTGGGAATAACTGGAGAAGCGGTCTGGCATACACACAGGCGCGATGTGGGGGCTGGAAGAGACAAGTCTATTAACACCCGCCATAAGTACAGTAACTGCCTTAATACTAACATCCTATGTATAGCAGAGGTAATTAGCAGTTTTAATATATAATGTATTAAAACCAATATCTTCCTCCTTACTAATCAGTTCAGATGTATAGTGAAAATTATTTTACGTGTGTACAAGTAAGCACACCACGAGGCCAGGGTATATAAAGCACCGCAGTGAGCAACATACGCTGTGTACAAGAGAACGACCGACGCCACTTACTTAGTGACGAAGTCTATAGGCGTCTGTATCCTGATGATGGCGATGTCGTTGACGAGGTTGCCGGCGTAGAACTCCGGGTGGGGGTACAGCCCTAACACTTGGCTCTCAACGTGGCGGTAGAACTCTGTGTTGCCTCCCACGTCCCACTCACCCACACGGACCTTCAGCTCTGATGGTGTCAACCTGTGGGGACGGAACTGTCTCACTAACTCCTCCTCAAGCACTCAAGGCGGACACACTTCTCTTACTGACAAACGAAGAAACAGATGAACGAACAAACAGAAAGCATTTTTTACCATTCCCTCGGGTTTCAGCAGCAGGGGACTAATCCAACCTAACATGAGCTAACCATAAAGATATTTTAACATGCCGCTGCCGACACACCATCAACACAGGGAGTCGTGAGGCACTGACCCGGCGACACAGTGGGCGGCAGTGACGAGATGTTGGCTGTCTATGAGGGCGGCGCCACACACGTACACACTCTCCCCCGTCTCACGCCGCAGGATGGCAGCCTGCCATGGATACTCCCCGAACTCTGTGTCGCCGTGGTCAAAGCTGTCGGTCTTGACACGGCCGAGCAACCCTACTGAGTTGCGGCGGCCACAGGATGAGATCTCCCGCTGTTGGCGGAACACGGGGCGACGACAACACACATGGTGGGAGGCACATCCACTCAGACCTGGCCTGTAGGCGTTAACCTGTCGACAATACCTTCGGTTTAACATACAATAATCATAGCACCTGTGACTTACACTGTGAATTAAAATGATCTTACTTAATCATATCAACATTATTCCAGCATCTGAGTGTTTACTGTAACAGGACCATATCGGCGTAAGAAATCAAAACAGAAGTGTGACAACTTACTCCTTGACGACTGGTGGCCAAGGCGGCAGGACGACTGACGCTTCCCCTACTGTTCTCACGGAACACCATAGTGTCTCTGTTGGGTCTCTTGATCTCTTTGAACACCATAATGTCTCTCTTCTTCCTCTCGGTGTTCTTGTCTTTGTTTTCGTTTCCCTCGGTCTGCACCACGACAGGTTGGTCTTCAGAGGCGGAGAAGACTTGATTTTCACCAGAAATCTCTTCAGTAGCTGTTGAGAGGATGTCTGATTTAAAGTTACGAGCGTCAATGAAGGGCTGAAGGTCGTTGCTGGACCTACCCACGATGTCGAAGGAGGAGCAGTACTGGAACTCGACACACTGGCAGTCCTCCAAGAAGGATGAGGAGGGACGGAGAGGAGTGGGAGGGATGGGAGGGAGGAGGGGCTTCCCGACCTTGTTTATAGAACCACTTCCGAAACTGTTAAAGTCCTCCAGGCTGTCAAAGGAGGAGCCGGAGCCAAAGGAGCCGGAGCCAAAGGAGCCGGAGCCAAAGGAGCCGGAGCCAAAGGAGCCGGAGCCAAAAGAGCTGTGTGAGCGAGTGCCGCTGTACGTGTTGTCCTTAGCGTAGCCACCATGTGAGCCCCCACCGTTATAGAGGTGGTGGTGGGTGTGGACGTGCTTGACGACGGAGGGGCCCTCGTGGTGGTGGTCGTACGAAGCCTTATGAGGGGCATATGAGGGTTCACTATAGCTGGAGGTGGGAGGCTCATACACTGGTGGGGGAGGGCCGTAGGAGGGTGGTGGAGGGCCGTAGGAGGGTGGTGGTGGGGCGTAGACGGGAGGGGGAGGGTGGTAGATGGGAGGAGGAGGGCCGTAGCTGGGTGGTGGAGCGCCGTATCCCTTGTCATGGTGGATAGGCACGGCAGCTACAGGACCTCCTACAGGCACCACCTGCACGGGCTGCACGTACGAGATATCGTGGTGGCTGATGCCTCCCTTGTGGTAGCCCTTCTTGCACTGGAAAAAAAGAAGATTTATAGTCACTATTATTTCTATTTACTGTTTTTCTCCCAGGTGAAACAACAGTCACTCTGCTATATATAATAAAACACTTTACTGATGTTTGCTATTGTTGGTAAATAAACAATGTATATTATTAATTTTGTCGAATAAATAAGAGGTATCAAAATAAGTATTACTGAAACGCTGGAAAAATGCAGATGGTCTATTCGTTGAAGGTAATGAGGAAGATTATTACTTAATTCGTCAATAATTTAGGTCGAGGAAAATTAATAACCCAGTAATAACTCCAAACGATAATTAAGGTAATAAAGCAGCTTAGCGTCCCATACTTTATACTGTACGAGCAGGAGCAAAATAAATCTCTTTCCAAATTAATTATCATACACTCTAAAGCTGGTCGCCGTGAGCAGAGAGTACGCAAGGTAACCTAAAACGAGTGTAAGGTTGAGAGGTCGTAATCCTCCACAGGCAGCGTCGATGTTGTTGTGGAGGACTACAGCCTAAATCATTTTGGTGGAAGACGATATTATACAAACCAATGCTCATCTAATTAATTAACCTAACCGAATGATCACAGTTTAGTTTTTTCATAAAGTTTGGTCCGGTTTAAGTGTGGTTGGATCGCGCCGCATAGTCATAAATGATTTACTTCGACGCCATCTTGGATTTTCATCCCATATTTTATTTGACTGAATATTTTTCAACAGTTAGGGGAAAAATGTGTAACTTCTGCTCACATGAACCAACACTAGAGTAGCTGGGGATTATTTTGGGGGAGGTTTATTTTGTTTTACGTTATATTAAATGTGACTCCCTAAACTGCAACATTACTCGTGTTTGTGATAAGGAAATAAATATGTGTTGTGTGTACATTGAGAGTCTGAGCAACACTACACATCAGTTTGAAGGTTGTACTCACGTCAAAGCCGAGGCCGACTTCACACAACTTGTTCTTGATGCCCAGGAACCTGCCCTCAGACTGCCCATCTCCCACCCTCCTGCCCGTTCGACTCTCACCTCGCTCCTGAACGCCAATTTCTAGTGGCGCTGAGACACAGCCCCGGGAGATGCTACACGTAGTGGTGCTGTCGAGACAGGTATTGGAGCACCTGTTTGAATGGAACTTATCGAACCAACAGAGGACTGTGTTGGAGGAAACGGTGTCAGTGACAAACTTGGTGCAGGAAGTACTCTCAGGGAGCCTGTTGAGGAAGAACCCGGGAACTTGACGTCTTCACTCAGGATCGCTGATCTGCCCTGGTGGTCATCTGAAGCTGAGGACACAGACCTGCCTGACGGAGAGGAGGAGGATGAGGCTGCTCTGGAAGACTCATCAGGTCCCCAGGACCAGTTGTTTCTGGCTCGGACGCCGACGGCGACCAGCGCAGGCAGTAGTAGCAGACGCGTCATCGCGCTGTAGGAGACACAAGGGGCGGGTGAGTGTGTGTAGGACGGTGTACATAGTTCTTTAAGCTCTAACGACATGATCTTATGTCTCCGATTGTTAACACAAGCAAGATGAGAGTTTCAGTCGTCTACCAAATGTTTCTAAGCTCTCACTTTAATAGTTATACCTCCCCACCCCACCCCGCCCTCCCCCTACCTCGCACCTCTTGTCCAGTTATTGCAACAAGGAAGTGTTGCAAGGAAAGACGTTGGTGAGGTTATACAAATTTTTTGTTGTTGTTATCACTCAGCGACCAGGCGGAGGAGTCACCACAGAGGCAGTGAGGCGGTGATGTGTACACAACCCCAGGCGTGATACTGACCACGACTTTCACCCTGCCACTAACACCTACCCTGTCATCACCACCTACCCTGTCATCACCACCACCTACTCTGTCATCACCACCTACCCTGTCATCACCACCTCCCTGCCACTACCACCCTACCCTACCATCACCACCTTCCCTGTCATCACCACCTACTCTGTCATCACCACCTACCCTGTCACCCCACCTATCACCACCACTCTGTACCACCCCTGTCATCACCACCTACCCTGTCATCACCAGCTACCCTGCCACTACCACCTACCCTACCATTAACTACCCTACCATCACCACCTTCCTGTCATCCAGCTACCCTGCCACTACCACCCTACCTGTCATCACCACCTACTCTGTCATCACCAACCTCCTCATGCCTTACTACACGAGAAAGGCTTCGAAAGTGTAAAGTAAAGACTGAAAGGAAGAGAATGTACACCTCTCTCTCTCTCCCCCCCTCTCTCTCTCTCTCTCCACACTATTGTAAAAGTTGAATGAGTAATGGTGTGTGTGTGTGTGTGTGTGTGTGTGTGTGTGGTGGCAACATGGTCGTCTGCTTACTACAGTGTTGAGGTGTATTGGAGAAGGTGTAGAGGAACGTCACTTGATTAGGATGGGGGCGTTAGAGAGAAGGTGTTGTAGCTAATGATGTGTGGGTGTCGGGTGAATGGTGTGTGGGTGGCGTGTGGGTTGTGTGTGTGGGGGGGGGAGGGGGGTGTATTATGGGGCAACAGGTGGACTAAGTTGATCACAGCTTCTCACCTCGTTGCCCAGGAGGTGAAAGTCTTTGTGTGTGTGTGGTGTGTGTGTGTGTGTGTGTGTGTGTTAAATCGTCATTACTGCTTGTGTGCATAAGTGTCAGGTGCTTTGTGTACCGCCCTTAGTGTGAGTACAGTATGTTGTCTGCTGGAGAGAGAGAGAGAGAGAGAGAGAGAGAGAGAGAGAGAGAGAGCTGAGTACTAGGGAGGAGGAGGAGGAGGAGGACTATAGCTTCAACATAGACATAAAATTAAAACAAAATTAAATAACAAATGTAAACCTGAAAAAAAATGTTAAAGGTACACCACTGTTAGTAACCCATAGCAGCAGAGTCGTGGAGTCGTAGTAGCCAGAGGGTCTGGAGTGGTGGTGGTGACGATCGTGGAACTCGGCACTATCGCTCTGGGCTGCACCACGACCACCATCACCACGACAATACACACACACACACACACCGAAATCCTGTCCAAGGTGTCGTCCCCAGCAGGTTAGATTAACTCCAGAAGGTCGTGGTGGTCGTCGTGGTCGTCGTTATGGTCGTACTACTTCCCCGCTTGTCGTCTCCTGCTGTCAAACTCGTCACAAGGATTAGTAAGTGTTAATTATGTTATTGTCAAAGCAATCTATGTTATACGAGTTAAAGAAAATGAGTTTATAGGGATAACTATGATAAACATTTATTCAAGCAGGAACTGTCGCATCCACCACGTGACAATGAACACACACACACACTGCCACATACACCTCTCAACCTTTCTTTCCATTTCTACCGTCACGTCTCAAACTCTCTCTCTCTCTCCACCCTATCAGCCCATGGATCAACAGTCTCTTGCTATCTCTCACACTATCTCTCACACTATCTCTCCCCCGCCTCCTCCAAGAACAAAGCGAGTACCTCCTCCTGTTTGCTGAGACAATACTGAACAATAAGACACATAGGAGTTTATCTGAGTGATCATGTGAACAATGTTGAACCTGAGGAACAACTAGACTGAACTCTTCAAGGTGGTGGAAGATGTCTTAGATACGGGAGAACATAAGATGGCTAAATGTCTTACGTGATATTAAAAAAAAAAACAGATGCGATTTAAGTCTGTTTATTTTGATATGGTTGAGTGCTTCACGTATAAGAGGTAGAGACAGAGAGACAGGAACAGCGCTACACGTCTCATTGAGTTGGAAACGATTTCTAATTGTAATCACTTTCACTCGTCAAGGAAAGAAACGTAAACATTCGAACCGTGGACATGAGAGAGAGAGAGAGAGAGAGAGAGAGAGAGAGAGAGAGAGAGAGAGAGAGAGAGAGAGAGAGACCTGAACGATGGTTGAGAGATAGTTTACCTGTACACCACGTCAGTCTGAGTACCTACACTAACACACACTCAATTACTATCCCTCAGTAACGACCCCCACACACACACCACCACCACCATACCTTCTACAGACAACACAGAAGACACGGTCACACAAGGTCGTTCACGCTGCAGTAAGGACAAGAGGAACCTTCCGCCCCGAAACGTTGACTACGAGAGACGCGTCCTTAGTGAGTCCCAACCACTCTCTCTACACTTCATCTACCTCCAGACTCCGCCCATGGTTCTCCTGACGGTGTGGGCGTGGAAGCTCCTCCTGCCGCCGCCCACACACATACCCATGACAGATTTCACTTTTCTCTTGCCATAGTTAACTTTCAAAGGGTCAATCTTTTTTTGTGTCGTTTTGATATACAGTATTATAGAGATACGTTAACTTAGATTAAAATACTAGTTCTTATCATAGTAATTAAAGATGATTAGAAAGATAAATGAGTTAAGATTATTACGAATTATGGCATTTAAAGATAATTAGATTGAAAAATTCACCTAAGAATATATTAGATTATTAATGCTTGAAGATATTTGAAATACTTGATGTTTTTACAGCGGTTATTATACAATCCTTCCACATAGTGCATTGCATTCGACACCCATTATGCTAGTGCATTCTAATCCCATCTAAAAATGCATTCTAAAACCAAGATATTTATACATTCCACTCACCATTACATAGCACATTCCAAACCCATTAAATACCGTATTCTACACCATTAATTTATACGTTTCTGACCCATTACCTTATGACACCCATTGGTCTATAGCACAAGAAGCAGGTTGTGTCAAGGTACTCTTTAGTTGGGGGTGCCTTACATCCTCTCCTCCTCCTCCTCCTTCTTCTCCTCCTCCCCCTCCTTCTACAGCAGGACGGTGACCTTAAATACGACCACTTTCACGACCTCGGTTTCTCCCCTTGTTCGGGTTAGGTGTGTGTGGGAGGGACCTGGTAGGAGCCCAGAGCCAGGCCGGTCTATCATATGTGTGTGTGTGTCTGTGTGTCTGTGTGTGTGTGTGTGTGTGTGTGTGTGTGTGTGTGTGTGTGTGTGTGTGTGTGTGTGTGTGCAGTGAAATAAGGTCGTATTATGTATGTTAAAGAGATAATTAAAATAAAAAAAAAGAAGTGCCTAATTTTTAAGTGATAACATTGAATCTGAAATAGGTGCCAATTTTTCATGTATTTAGATAAAGACACTAAAAAAATGCCATCGTTTGTATGTTAAGGAAAACATGTTTGGAATCAGTGCCACAGATTTGCGTCAAGAATAAATGCCATATTTTTTTTTTTTTGGTGTCAAGAAAATATGTATGGGTTTCAGTGTTGTTTTTTATGTATATTTTAAAGGAATGATAGAGAAATAATAATCATTGGATCTATTCATAGTAAAGTAGTCATGACGTGTGTTAAGACTCGCCTGACCTCTGCCGGGGAAACACTTAACTAACATTATAAGTTGTCAGTCCTTAGATATCTCGGTGAGTAACCTTTTGAGATGCGTCACTCATGAGTTCCCTCCAGTATATGTAACTCATTTTAGAATATACTTGTGATTAGTTATAGTACAATGAGGTCAAATTCCTGTACAACATATATATTATCCATGATTGTAGTTTGTGTTCGTAAGACTGAGGAGATGATTGTGATTACAGTTAATTATTACGTGTAGAGGAAGACGCCATTATAGGGGTCACTACTGAAGGAGGTCTGGAGATTTCAACACACCTGGAGATAGTGATCTTACTGCTGGGGGACAACGATAATGAGGAGACTGCCTGGAGACACGGGAAAAACGGTTTGGAGACATTAACCCAATATTTACTATGATGTAATAACTGTATGCATAGATGTATTAGATAAAAGAATAGAATAAAGAAAGTATAAAGAAAATGTAATCCCTCGTAGCCTGGTGAGTCAGTTGGGGTGACGACACAGTGAAAGGGAAAATGATCTCTGAGAAAGGTGGAAAAGAAAGTTGGGCAGTGACGTCCTGGTACACCCCTCACCCCCACCCCCACCCCCCTCTTGGCATCTAACCAACCCCTCCTGGCACCCCATCCCCCCCTCTTGGCACTCACCCCCGTTATGACATTTTACACCCCCTCCTATCACCCACCCCCCGCCCTCCTGGCACCCACCCCGCCCTCCTAGCACCCCACCCCCGCCCTCCCTAGCACCCACCCCCGCCCTCCTAGCATCCCCCCCCCGCCTCCTCACCCCCCCGTCCTCCTAGCACCCACCCCCGCCCTCCTAGCACCCCACCCCGCCCTCCTGGCACCCACCCTGCCCTCTAGCATCCCCCCGCCCTCCTCCGCCCCCGTCCTCCTGGCACCCCACCCCGCCCTCCTAGCACCCCCCGCCCTCCTCTGCACCCCCGCCCCTCGCACCCGCCCCTTCCGCCCACCTCTGGAACCGCCAACTTTACTTTCACTAGTGTGGGTGAGCGTTGCCAATCCTAGATGGTACATTGGGCAGTGTTGCAATTCATGACAGAGGTCAGGTTAGGTCAGGTTA